AAAGATTGGGAAGGATTGGAGCTAGTGGATTAAATGATATAATAAAGCCCTAATACACAGTAAGTACTCAAAAATGTAGGCTTAAATTATCATCAGTGAATGAGAGGTATTGACTAGAGGTCATTAGATAACAGCAACAAGAAGTAGTAATGGTGGCCGTAAATTGACCTAAGTTAGTTTTAGTTAGTTTTGAAGTTCTCTTTGACAAGTGGTAGAAGTTAATAAAAGTAAGTCTCAGACTATAATCTAGACATTCATTAGCAAAACAGATGCAAAAAAAAAAATCATATAACTTGTTCAGTAAGCTCAATAAAGTCTCAGTTCTCTATCCTTTTAGGTTCTCTGACTATACCTTAAACGAAAGGCCTACTTAGGCATACACAGCCGCATTCCAAAGATTGAATTCTGTACCTTCTGGCATTGAACAATCAGAAATGTTCTTATATTAATGTCTGGACCCAAGACTGATTAGAGATCAAGCTTCAGATGCCATCTATAAGGGTAAAGGATATAGACCTCCCTAGATTCTTATTCTGTTCATGCAGCTATTGAGAGTGATTAAAATGCTTGTAGCAAAATTCACTTGTTTTGAATACCTTTAATTTCAACAAAGAAAGCCTATATTTAATATTCACCAGGCTACTCAACAGGCTATTATTTTCACTAATAAAAACCCATTTTGGAGATGTCAGGGGCAAAATGGCATAGATGATAGAAGCTGCATTCTTCCCCTCTTGCAACCACATCAAAGTTGAGACCGAAACACAGAGCAAACAGCAAGCAGAGTTGCCTGGGGATCTAGAAGGACAAAAGCCCTACAACTAGGGAGAGAATGAGAAATCACCCTGCAACAATTAGAGGTAGGAGGAAACGAAGACACAAGACTGCCCGGTCCCAAGCGGCTGAGTAGGACAAAAGGTATGGCAGCAGCAGACGGCAGCAGCAGTAAAATGGCCAGTCCACAACCAGACTTTCAGGGTGACGGACCTGCTTGTTCTGATCACCAGCACCGGGTCAACTATTTGGAGGGCACCAAAGATTTACAGGAGGACACTGAGTTGTCAGAGCGAGGACTGGAGGTGAGGCTCTCTCCTGGGCAGAAGTGCTGGCAATATCCATTGTTCTTCTGTTGAGCCCTCCCCACTCCCAGTGTGCGGATGCAGCACTGCCATAGCTGAGACATCATCAAACCGGATAACAGAGGTTGCTCTGCCCAGAGGATTTTCTGAAACTCCACCTCCCTCAACTCATGGCCCTACCCAAGCCACATCCAGCTGTGGCCTTGGCAACTCCTGTGCCACTTGCTGAGCAGGGCCAAGACTCACACTGGTGGCAACTGACCTCAATTTCTGGCGTGGCTTCTTGAGACAACTATAAGCACAGCACCTGTATATTGCTTCCTAAATCTTAACAGGTAGCCCCAGAGAGACACAGGCTGGGGCTAAACGTGGCCTGCAACAGAACCCCTCTCAGAACTATGCTACTGGACACTTACTACCAGAGCCACACTAATAAGACCGGGAGACTTAGAAGCTTTGATTATTACATAAAAACAGACAGGCAGGCAAAATGGGAAAACAATGAAGCAAAAACCATATGAAAGAATAGAACATAAATCAAGGAAAAATGGAGTCAAGCAATCTAACAGATGCAGAGTTCAAAACACTGGTTATAAAGATGCTCAATGAAATTAAGGGAAGTATAGATGAACTCAGTGAGAACTTTAGCAAAGAGATTTAAAAAAACATAAAAATGGAGATAAAAATTATAAAAGGGAACCAGTCAGAAATAAAGAATACATTATCTGAAATGAAGAGTATTTTAGAGGAAATCAACAGTGGAGAAAGAAGAGGATCGAAACACCAATATAGAGGATGGAATAGCAAAGGACACCCAATCAGAATGGCAAGAATAAAGTAACTAAGAATACAATAATTTAAGGATCCTATGAGACAAAATTAAAGGTGACAACATCTTTGTCATAGGGGTATCTGAAGAAAGAGAACAAGAAGTTGAATATATATTTGAAGAAATAATAATGAAAAACTTCCCTAACCTGGTGAAGGAAATAGACCTACAACCCCAGGAAGCTCAGAAAGTCCCCAAAAAAATGAATCCAAAGAGGCCTGCACCAAGACACATCATAATTAAAATGCCAAAGGTTAAATACAAAGAGAGAATCTTAAAAGCACCAAGAAAAAAAGCAGTTAATTACCTATGAGGGAGCTCCCATAAGACTGGCAGCCGATTTCTCAAAAGAAACTTTTCAAGACAGAAGAGCTCGTCACAAAATATTCAAATATTGTTTGAAAACCCAGGATCTACAACCAAGAATACTTTATCCAGCAAAGCTATCATTTAGAGTCGAAGGACAGAGAAAGAGCTTCCCAAACAAAAATAAGCTAAAAGAATTCATCAACACCAAGCCAGTATATTACAGGAAATGTTGGAGGGACTTCTTTAAAAAGAAAAAGCATGTATCAAAAACATGAATAACGAATGGTGATAACTACATATTTATCAACAAGTACCTCAAATGGAAAAGAATTAAGTGCTCCAACCAAAAGATAGGGAAGCTGAATGGATTAAAAAAAAAAAAAAAAAAACCCAAGACCCCTATATATGCTGCCTACGAGAGACTCACTTCCAATTAAAAGACACAGACTAAAAGGAAAGGGATGGAAAAAGATATCGCCTTGGTAGATCCTAGAGGATATTGCGCTGAATGAAGTAAGTCAGGTAGAGAAAGACAAATACCACGATTTCACATACATGTGGAATCTAAAGAACAAAATAAACAACAACAACAAAAATGGAAACGAACTCATAAATATAATATTTTGAGGGCTACTAGACCATGAGAAGGGTTGGGTGTTTGGGGGGGAAGGGATTGTGAAAAAGTGCAAAGGGATTAAGAAATACAAATGGATAGATAAAAAATAGTTATGGAGATATAAAATGTAGCATAAGGAAAATAGTCAACAATGTAAAAAATATGTAAGGGGGAAGAGGGTAAATAACTTGATTTAGTGGGCTGACCATTTCATGAGTTATATAGATCTCTAATCACTATCCTGTACAACTGAAACTAATATATTTTTGTATGCCAACTATAATTGAAAAAAAAATTCATTGAATTGTACAATGTAAATATGAGCAACTAATTGTCTATTATACTTCAGTAAAGCTGGGAGAAAAAATAATCTAGATCTTTTCCATTGTATATGATATTTTCTTTATCATATATTGTATGCACACCAGTGACTACTGCTTTACTATTTTTTTCCATTTATCTGTCTCATCATATTGTTTTAATTACCTAAGCTTTAAAACATTTTAATGTCTAATAAAGCAAGTAATCTCTTCCTTTTTGTTTATTTATCCAGAAATTTTAATTGTTTTGATGATTTCCCTCAAAATTAAGTTGGATTTTTAAAACTTGGTTTGCATTAAATTTATTCATTGATTTAGAGACTGACAGATGTAAAAGATGTGAAACCTTTTTACATATATGTGTTTGTATTTTATCTGTAAGTGTATCTCTATTACATTTATCTACATGTATTTATCTAAATGTATGTATAGATATTTATACACATTTTTTTGAAAACATATGTAGACATTCGTTTAGTTATTTATATGCTCATATGACATTTTCAAGGCTAAAATTCTAGCTAAATGTCTTCATTAGGGAAAATGAATGTGGCAAAATATTCTTCTGCTCCCACCATAAACATTTAACTATTTAATTGGGAGTTTTACTTTAATTGAATCAATTGGTGATTATTAGTAAATAAAATTTGCACTTAGATTTCAAAAAAACCATTTTGGACACTAAATATGCTAATTAAAAAGTCAAAATCTATAGCTTGATAGTATCTGCCTCAAGAGGATTGGTTCTTTATGATTAGAATGTCTAGCAAACAATCTCATAACTGTGTATTCTTCATTAGTAGATACTATTACCCCTTGATTAGGGAAATGGACCATCTCTGGAGTTCAAGTTTGAACTAACCCATGCATAATAATATACTGGTTTCGCTTAAACATTTTAGAGTAAGTAATAAACATTGTAATAATAGAATAGCCTAATGACATGGGTTTTTAAAGGAGAAATGAGAAAAGACAGTTTGGAGGTGTCAGTGAAGAGCAAAGTCAACTGTGCTACCTCCAGGCCTTGAGTTATATGTAGTATGTGATGGGAGAAAAATAATATCTCTACTTAAGAGGGCTTCAGGAGAAGCAGTATTCTTAAAAGACACCTGTTTTAATTTAAACAAGAAGCTGAATTAAAGGTTATGCAAAGTAGTGTGTGGATGAGTGTCTGTATAATGTATGACTTTGAACAAGTCACACACATTCTCTATGCCTCAGTTTCTCCAGTTGCAAAATGAGATTCAAATAACATCTGTCTCTCAGATGGGTACTGGGTTTATTAGAGTGATCACTTCATAAGTTATGTAAATGTCTAATCACTATGTTGTACACCTGAAACTAATAAAATATTGTATGTCAGCTATAATTGAAAAAAATAAAAATATAAACATTTTTTAAAAATAGGCCAAAATGAGCATTAAATTAGATAATACTTATGAAGTACTTAAAAAAAAAATCTATAACAGTAAGTGCTCAAAACATGTTGGTATTTTTACAGCTTCCCCTTTTCTTCATAAGAATATTTATAAATTTTGTCAGAAATATATGGAACTCCAAGATCAAATATAATAGGGTTTGCATGCAAAAATGAACAGCCTCAAAATTTCTCAAAGTTTCTTTTTTCCTGATAAATATCCTTAAAATTGGTGATGAGAATTTTGATGTAACAATTTCTCTTTGGAGAATTATATGTCTAAATTTAAACTATTTAGATTATTCTAAAAAATATTTTCTTTTTATCAAAGTTTTAAAGTAGTATTTTATCATTGACCAGTTAAATTATATATAAAGAGATCATTGAATATGATTCTGTACTATTTGATCTTTCTTTATTATCTCCTCAGTTTTTCAAAAACCAGTTCCTCCATTAGAAGAAGCCCTCAAACAAATTCAAGAACCCAATTTAAAATCAAAAGTGAACTTTCCCTCTTCGCACAGACCAACAATAAACTGGAGGTAAGGAATTTATGATTATAATGTGTAAATATTAATGCACAACAATTGAATACCTTTCTAGTTGCTGAGTTTGTAGGCCTTTTTATCAGTTACTTCTCACCTCTAAGGTAGAGTGGAATATAAATTGCTTCATGAATAAGGAAAATTTTCAATTTGTTGTCTTTAGTATTATAGTGCTGCTTATGTTGAATAATTTTCTATGGAAACTATCATCAAAACCATTTTAAAATATTGATATTGGTTATTCATCTTTATTGATGAAAAATTGTGTTGATTGGAGTAATATATATAGGTAAAAGGAGTAACTATATAGTAGAAATGGGTTTTCCTCAATGAAAATCTTCCCTTGTTATCGTGAAAAAGCTGTAGTGTCTCCTGCTTCCTCTCCAAGGTTATCTTAAATGAGTCATCTGGAAACAATAGAATGGACCATCTAACTACAGAGTATCCTCTGACATCCTGTATTTTCCATTTATTTATTACAAATGTTTATTGAAGCTATTGCATGTATAGCACTAGATCAAGCACTGTAGAGGATATGGAGAAGTATAACATTATAAAATATAATCCCTAGTATATAATGTAGGAGAGAAGTGAAATAATGCTTTAAAGGTATAGAATAGTACCAAATGAGTAATAATGATAATATTTAATATTTATTTACATAAAAACAGCTACACTTCAGACATGAATTATGTTACTATTTTACCTGTACATAGTGTTATTTACCAAGTATTTCCATTTTTAGAATACTTGTGGCCAATAGTTCCCTTGATCACAACTAAGGACAATTAAATTCATCCTTAGTCTTCATTATAGTTCAGGAAAGACCTCAAAGAATAGTAGACTCTTCATCAAAGCTTTGAAGAAAACAGAAATTAATCATAAAACAAGTAGGCAAATGGCATTCCAGATAGAGGGATGAGCATGTGCAAACGCCAAGAGTAATTGAAGGAAAGATGTGTTGTAGGCGTAAGAGTGTGGCTGAATGATAGAAAGGAAAATACCAATAGCTTGGCTAGATATGAGATTGGTGAGATAAATACATCTGTATGCTTAGGAATATAAACTTTTATCTTGAGAGTTTAAGAGATGTCAATGAAGGACATTAAGCAAATGGATGATAAAATCAGCTTTTCTTTTTTAACATCATTCCATTCTATTGTGAACAAGTATGGATAATGGATTGAAGAGGACAAAACAGTAGGTTATTTTATTATACGTAACTGAAATTATATGGCTCTAGAGCTCCAGAGAAAGCTCTAAGCTTAAGATATTGGAAGCCAACACAACTGATGAGATCAGATCAGCCTTGGAGAATATGTACTGTGATGGCAGGACTAGGCTAGAACACTGAATAACAACATTTAAGACATGAAAAAAAAAAAGAGAGAGAAGCATGCAAATGAGAACAGAATGGTCAATGATAGGACTAGGTTGATGATGAAAACTAAGGAAGGAGAGAGTTTCATGGGGGTGGGGAACAGATTGTAGAGATCGATGCCTTCTAGGGAACTAATAACATAAAAAGTTATATTCATCAGGATCTTGACAGGAAACAAGTGGTACATTTAAAAGGGTGACTGTAAAGAGGTTAAGAAAGGGACTGGGAAGCCAACAAAGAATGGTAAAGCACCTCTAAAACAGAAACAAAGTCAGTATTACCACACAGACCTGAACTGAGAAAAGCTGTAACTATAGAGGAGGACTGCCAGACAGGACCTGTAGTCCTAAATAGAGGAACATTTCTACTGCTAATCCAAGCCCAGAAGAGAGGAAGCCAGAAGAATAATTATCAAAAAACCTCTTCCTTCTGTCACCCTCCCATTTCTTGCCAAGTGCCTTCATTGGCCAAACTCATCCACAAATCAAAAAGCCAGGGATCCTTCAGTCTCTGCCAAGCAGAGACAAGTAGAGAAGTGAATCTGGAATGGCAAAGAGAATATCCAGCATAGAAGCTATGTGTCATTATTTTCTACAACAAAACGTCACACTAGCAACTTTTGTCAGAGCAATTTTATTGAAGTCATTGGGACAGAAAAGAGATTGCAATGAGTTATAAAGAAATAGAGAGCAAGAAAGTAAAGTTAACAAGTGTAGCTTGGCTGTGAAAGGAAAAGAGTGATAGAACAATAGATAAAAGATAAAAACATGAATAAGATATGATCCTCTGCCCAAAGAAGTCTTGCAGTTACATTATAATACAGTGTAATGATAGTTACATTATAATACATGTGTAATACCATGTAACAGGGGCTGTTACAGAAATATTAGCAACATGATAAAGAAGTACAAGATTGAAAGTTGGGAAGAAGACTTAAAAGATGAGTATGAATTGTCCAATAAAGCATAAATTGGATTTAGGCATGTTTAAGCCTACAGCGTTGTAAAAGGCACAGACCCTTAAGGAAATAGAATTTGTTCAGTGTGGGACGTGTTACTGGTAGGACAGAAAATGATCTAGAAATGCAGATTGAGATCAGATGTGAAATTTTTGCGTGTCTAGCTAGGAAACTTGGACTTTATCCTATAACAAGTAGAAAACCAGTGGAGGATTTTAAGCAGGGTGTGATATAATCCTCTTTATTATTTTAGAAAGGTAACTGGTATGAGTGTTGGAGAATTAAAAGGATGGCGAGGAATTGGAGGCAAGGAGACCAGAGAAAATTAATGGGACAATCCAAGGGATAGATCATTACTGCCTAAACTAGAATAGTACTATTTTGTCTAGTAGAGAAAGGACAGATCTGATAAAGAATAAAAATATTTTGGGTGGTCAGAAGAAAAGAATGAGAGAGAAAAATGAATGAAAATGCCTTTTCACAATGCAGAGAAGTGACATAAAGATAAGAGTTTAAGAATGTTAATCAGGTAGAAGCATAAGAATTGGAATATGAAGAGTATAATAGCAGAAAAATCAGGAGGATCCAGTTATGAATTTAAGAGGACTAACGTTAAAAGGGTGGTAGTGAAGGAATAGATATTTCATAGAAAGAATAGATTATGACTTTGGTATATGATGGAATAAAAAATGGAAAAAGAAAAAAAAAAGAAGCTGAAATTTTGAGTTTTGGTTACTGAAGGAACTTGGTGACTTTAAAAATAAAAAGGAACATAACGAAAGGATATAAGTTTGGCAAGATTACTAAATTTTATTTGAGGCTTCTGAGTAGAGATAAATATTTAAGGAGAAATGTATAAAAACAATTTGATCTGAGATTAAATGAGAGATCAAAGCAATTAGAAAGTCATAATTGAATATGTTGTTGCTTAATTTTTATATGTACATATGTCTCCTGAACCAGATTGTAATTTTCTAGAGAACAATGGCTAAATTTTACACATTCAGGTATTCCCTACAGTGCTTAGCTCAGCGCTGTGCATATTGGAAGTATTCAATAAATACTTTTAATGGAGAAACATCACTGACATCAGTGAACACTTCTCGAGGGTATAAACTGGACCTGAAGCTTAATAAATGAGGAAGCTCTTCATCAGAGACAAACATTAAGAGAGAACTCCAGACAGAGGAAATAATTGGTGTGTGAAAAAGCATGAAAGAACATGTTGTGTTAAAGTAGCTGAAAGTAGTTCAGTTTGGCTAGCGTGTACAGTGAGAAGATAGGTTGGTTGGAAGCCAGGAGTTTGTTCTAAAAACAATTGCTGAAAGATTTAAAGCGAGCATACAGCATTTAAATTTTAGAAATATTGCCAGAGTGGGAAAGAACTGGATAAGACTAAAGATGGGAAAATCACATTAAGTGGTTCTTTACTAAATGAAAATGATGACTTCTTGAGCGCTGTTAGGAGGCAGAATCAACATGATTTGATAACTGTTTAAGAACTGAGAAGTGATTCAGAGGAGTCAGGGATGACTCTGGAGATTGAGTTTGGTTAATTAATAATTAATTAATTAGTGAAACCATTTATCAAAATGAGGGAAGTAGAGAAGAAGACGCTTAAAAGAGGGAGTCAATGAAAGGGGGATAGTAAATTGTGAGCTTGAATATGGAGAGAATAGTGGCAGGAAAATCAGGAGGATTTGGGGATGTTCCAGGGCCAGTTTCTCATGGTAAAAAATCTGGGCCATAATATAGATATGATAGTTACCAATGAATGGATGAAACTAAAAGCCATGGTTCAATACCCACCCGTGGTAGTCTTGGGTTTGGCTAAACAATCAAATTCTCATGACTATGATAAGCCATGTTTGACTTCAATCAGAGGACAGAAAACACTGCATGTCCATCTTCAATAGGAAGAATCCTCATAGCAGGCCACAAAACAGTCAAAGGGCCAGTCTTTGCTATGCCCCTCTCCCCACAAGTGACAGACAGCTCAGCTCTAAGGAAAAGAGATCACAATGAATATATATACAGCCACTGTAGATTAGAAAGCCTATGTTCCAAACAGGACCAATATTTTTTGAAATGGCTCCATATGTATAGCTTTCAGGTCCATGCAGGACATGTGCAATTATAGGAATTATAATTATAGTTTTTGGAAACCCAAAACTATGGATTCCTACCAGGTATCTATGGTTTTATTCACAGTCCTCTCAGTCCAGATGCAGATTACCAATGAAGGGTCATTTTTAACATAATCAATGTGCCTTATAATACAGTTGAAATCCTACTAAAAATCCAGAGTAACAGACTTAGAAAATTAACTCAAAGTCAAATTGGTCCACAGAAAAGAACAGATTTTGTTAATTCTTCACTCACATATAGATAGATAAGATCACACAGATAATATAAATAAGATTACACAGAGAGTATGTATGAATAGATAAGCAAAGAGGAAGGTCACATAATTTTCAAAAATTCTAGCATATAAAGGACAAGCAAAGAAAGAGGAGCTCAAGAAAGACCCTAAGGAAGAACAACCAGAGAAGTAGAAAAATAACCAGGAAAGCATGATAATATGAAAACCAAGAGAATTAAAGTCAAGAAAGATAGCAGTCAAGAGTGTCTATTTTTGTAATTATTAGGTCAATTAGT